TTTCTCTTTCTTGTTCTCTTCGCACTCTAGCTCTTCGAGAGTCTGCAGTCAGGTGTGCTCTCTGCTGCTCATCTCCAATTCAATTCAATCTTGAGTTTGTGAGTTTTTCTATTCTACACGATAATAAAACATTTGAAAGTAGAGTGTTGAAAATTTTGCTATCTTCATCTCTTTCTTACTGCCATCATTCTCATAACTAAGATGAAATTATGTACCATTTAGGAGAGGCGCGTAGTTAAGATAAGGTCATGTTCGATTGAGCTCACTTTTCTGGGCCAAGTGACCTCAATCGTATAGAATTCCGCATGGGGGAGAAGAGCTAAAGGGATGTACTGATTATATTTGTCCGAGAATTGTATGTCGTTCTTTAATCTACACTAGAGGACATACTTCTTTGAAAACGAGAACAGTGATAGAAAAGGATCATTGCGAGAACGATGGGAAGCTTTTTATTCTCCGAGCCCGCTCCGGTGTCGTCCCATGCTGTCAGCTAAACTTTAGTAGGTGTGCAGGTATGTACCACGTTACTTTCTTGGCCATTAGTCTTCTAAGAACCCCACTGACTTCCAGAAAAATTAGGAGGTACTTGGGAAACTTTAGAATACTCATGATCACTTCCGTTTCACTACATGCACCATAAAATATTGACGATTTTATTTTGATATGATATGATTGCTCATTATACTTCCGTTACCGTTGGATGTGGGGTCAATGTTGTGTGGTGGGCGAATAATAGCCAATAAAGCTCAAAAGCACAATTGTGTTCTGCATGAAACGTTTTTCCTCTTGGGAACCCTCGTTCAGTTATCCTTGTGGACAACAGTTCAATCTATTAAGTTTTCAGGTTGTTCAACTCGAGACAACAACTTATGTCGGTACTGTCGAGACTAGAAAGAACGCCTTTAGAAGTACTGAGTCAAACAGGCACGCAATTTCCTTGTAAATATAACTGCATTTGGCAGCTATTGCTGTACGGTTCGCTGTACTTCTTACCATCGAACTATCAAGATATGACACCACTTGTATCAACTTTGGTGATGAGACAAATAGAATTTAAGTGCGAATGCTCACCAAGCCCGAAGAGGGAATGACTAACGCAGAGAGTTCTATATTTTTGTTTTTAATCTTTCTCGAGAACTTGTTCATGAGGTGCATAAAATTAATATTTCTGATAACAATACCTACGTAATAAAGGGTACGCCATCACGTAGACGAGTAGGGTTTTCGGTCGCCCCCCCCCCTCTTCTGCCCTAAGTAATGCCCACAGGTAAAAAGGACTCAAAACTGACGTGATAGCGAGCCTAAGCTCTACAATTTGTAGAACAGTGTGTGGTTTGTGGTGACTCGGCTGATGGCTTTCACTATGGCGTACGCTCATGTCGTGGCTGCAACGCTTTTTTCCGTCGTGCAGTTACTTATGATCAGCGGTTTGTATGTCGTCGTGGTGGACACTGCCCCGTTGATAGAAGTTAGTTCCTTTTTCTCACAATATTTCCTTATTCAAAAAATCTCATTCGCCATCTTCAATCTTGCCACTAATAAGACTCTCATCCCATATCTTCGTAGATTTCCTTTACGTTATGTGGCCTTTCAAGTGGGAAGGTTCTTTGTAAAGTCATGAGCTAAGGTGGCTACTGAGCTCCATCTGCATTGAACTGCTTGGCAAACTCACTGGATACTGTTCGGTAGAGTTGGATAGAAGTATAGTACCGATAATTCTAATCTTTGTAATTTCGTAGAATTCCATACCTAGATAAGTCTCCAACCTGCAGTTTGAATTCTTCGCAAAGGGAACAGGACAAGCGAAGTATGAGATCAGTCAATAGGACACCGTGTACAGCGTTCTTGTAAGTTGGTTCCCAATAAACTCCTCTCGAATTGCCGCGGTGTTATATGAGTATTTCTGGACAAAGTCGCTTAGTCAGATATTATTTCTGAAGGTTTTCACTATTATAAATCAAGCGGTTAAATGATCTGACGCGTGAATATTGTCCTCAGATATTATTCAGTTGAAGTCGTTGGTAGCTGTGGAGTGGACCTTGGTGGGCGAAGTGAGGAGGTAGCGCTGAAGCCTGCTTTTGTTGAAGTCACCTTTTATACGGCCATTTGAGCTTGTGTAGAACAACATAATCTGAAGATTGCAGCTGTCACGATAACCGAAAACCTTAAGTCTGGAGAAAATGCTTTCTTTCTAGCTTAATGGTGAAGACTTGGCCAGTAAGTCACTGCAGTGGACGACCCCTCTGACATTGATTACAGTAGCATACACATGCTACACCGTGACCCTCAGATTTGACTCGCTTTTGGATATTCGTAGTGCTCCACTGAAATAAGCTAGTTCATTGACGATAGCGTGGCACCTGTGGCTATGATGGTTTTTTTGCTCATCGCCTATTGTTTTTGGACTTCTTCTGGTATCAACTAGGTTTGCGTCCTCGTAATAAGTCTTGAGGCACATTGGTACAGAAATCGTTTACTTTGTAGCGACACTCGGGAATAAAATCTGCAAAGAAATGTGCTAAAGTAGCTGTGCTGGAACAAATGGCAGTGCGAAACGGGGGATGGAAATTCGCCCAACTTGCATGGACTTGGCAAATTGCGCCGCCAACTTCGTGAGTAGGGTAGATAAGTAGTAATAGCCAACTCTGATTCCATCTTCTCGAAAGCTCTAATGGGAGGCGCCAGAGTCGTTTGAATAACCACGAGTTTCTCCGCGCACTATGCTGCGTCGATCCAGAATTGGGTGAGTGTACCCATACCCATTCAAAACCACGCCTTTCTCTCTCTCTCCTCCCTAAGATCTCGACGGCTGTTGATGGTGTTCCGTTAAAGCCTAGTTCCCACACATTGGACACGTTTTGAGATCATTTGAAAAAATTTTCCGTCCTCCTATAAAGCATTAAAGCAACATTACATGTCCTCAATTTTTTCATCACATGTTTTACAAAGTTCATCTCGATAAGGTAGCACGTGGGAAAATACCTGACGTGTTAGTATGACCATCAACGATCCACCACATCAGCTCCTCAGGTATGTACTCTTTCGCTACAAAGCGAACACGTTGAAAATCGGCTGTCATCGGTGGATTCTAAACGGGTCTGGTAATTTTTGAGAACATCTGTTTTGTGTGACACGTAGAAGCAGCCACTGCACTGAAAACAAGCACCCCAGATATTGTACCGTAATAATCTTCTCAACCTTTGAGGGAACACTAATTTTTCCATTCTACTAGAAAAAAAAGACCTCACAGAACGTTCACATGACAAGAATTGTCACGAATTCCAATATATGAGGAAAGTTCCTTCACAAATATCATTGCGAAGCATTCACAGTGAAGAGCTTCAAAAGTTCCCTTTTTAACAATCGGGTCACCTGGCTTACGCCGGGCTACCCTCCTTCTTATTATAGAGTTGTGATAATCGGCAAATTGTCCGCTCCTCTGAAACAAATTGTTCTTTCCGGGACACCGAACTTGACAGAGAACTGAAAGGGCATTCAAGTGATATTCAGTATGTACCGATGCTTGCGCCTTCAGTTAGATTCGATCTGTTGCTGTTCATCTCGAAAGTGATGACCCGTTGCAGGTTCATGTGGGCTGAATTGAATATTTTCGCTCATGCCACGCCCCTCGTGGGCGAAGTCTAGTCGTGTCAACTATCATCAGTGCTCCCATCTTGCCTCCTATACTCCCACCAGATTTTAGGGCTATAGATCCAATTTGATGTTTCTTCTGCGAGGGGTAGAGTGTTATTCTACAATCAAGAATCGAAGAACCCCATCCTGCCGCCTGCATTTCTAAATTTGAACTTAGGTCCATTGGAACGGGGCCATGAAGTTCCGCTCAAACATTTCGCACAAACCCTGTGCGGAACTCGGTTCTGCCACCCACCATATGTATGCCTATCCTGCCGCCTCTACTCCTACCAATTTTGAACTCACTCTCAAACACATGCACACACACATACGCACACCAACAGACACCAAAAGGCACACTTAACGCATCATTTATAGTAGGAATGTCGGTGAACTTATTTGTTTGTCTTTGAATGTGTATTTGAAATGTCGACGAGTTCAACAAGAAGGCTGTCTCAAGTATGGTTTTGGGCATATGAAAATGCCTTTTTTACTCTCATAGTACTACATCAACAAATCAGATGAAGTGCAAAGTTCTTTAGAGGTTCACGGACTGCCGCCTGACGCTACTCCAGCTTAAATTAGTCAGAAATGGCCCTCTTAAGTCACTTGGTTTTCATACCGCTGTAGGTATGGTTTGCACGGAAAACGCCTATGACTCTATCAGTTTATATAGGCGCTCTATGAGAAGTGGATGATTTGCTGATCGCACATACCTGCAAGTATCTCCCGCTAAAATCCAGTACTTCGTCAAGTGTATTCTTTTTTGACCAAATCAATTAATAACATTAACATAAATCAATCTGTACTTACAACATTCCTGGAGTTTTTCTATGTTTGGAGTGAAGTGTAAGGCTCATGCAGATGACCTTGAGATTTAAGCTGAAGTTGACTGTGAACATGGTATGGCAAAAATTGCCTCAGCGATTGATGCTATGGATAAATGGGCCATGTATGGTAAACTGCAAAGTCTAGTTTTTCATCGATATGAAAGTTTTTCATCCCAGATTCATGGTAGAAGGTATAAAATTAAGCTCATATCCATTCAAATTATATCGAACATGTCGATCATTTGAACCAAGGTGTAATACCACAAACATGAGCTTAATTTTATATCTTCTACCATGAATCTGGGATGAAAACTTTCATATTGATGAAAAACTAGACTTTCCCAACATTGTGGAAATTCTCTTTTGCAGCCCAAAGAAAGGTTTATAATATATTTAAAGATCTCTCATCAGATAATTTTAGGGCCCTCCTTGCTGCTTGTAAATTTTATGTCAGGCCAATTCTGGAGTACGGCACGACAGTCTACAACCTCTCGAAACACCGTAGTACAAAACGGTTGGAGGCAGCTCAAAATATAATAGTTTTACACGCAAATTGATTCTTCGCTGCCATATCTTACCACACTCAGATATACCGGACTCTGCATCTCATAACCGTTTTCTAGGTTTGAAATCGCTCTTATTCAGGAGGAGAATGAGGGATGTGTTAATGGACAGAAAAATACTCCGTGGTCAAGTCAAGATTCAATGTAGTGATTTATTTCGTATAGCGCCATACATTACTAGAGGAAACCATAGTAAGATAAACTTTAGCGCAGCTCATTGGAATCTTAGACACGAATTCTTTGTAGATCGCGTTGGATCAGAGTACAGTCGCCTAACTCACCTTGACACCCTCCCTAAATCGACGAAGGTCCTTGAAGCCCATCTTAGTAAAGTTCTCCATAAAGCTCTAGAGGATTAAATTTCTTAATTATATTGCGCTTTTGTGTGTATCTTGTTGTGATTCTGTTTCTTTGCCACTTGACAACCACACATGCTCGACGCGTAATAAACGAACAAATGAACAAATATGACTTTATCTACTTCGTATGCTCTTTTAAATCACTTTGACGCTTAATAAGAATACAGTGCGTTTCATAATTATAAAGTCACCCTCAATTTTTACTTTTATTTTTCTGAAGAAAGCAGCCTGAATGGAATTTTTTGACAAACACAGGAAGATTCCCCATCACAATGTACCCCCGTAATGAAATTTTGGTCGCGATATCCTTCACCTCAAATTTTTTATGAATTTTTTAAAGGTAGTGTCGACTTTTGCACCGTTTCATAGTTATAATGTCACCCTGAGAAAGTTAATGGTTTATTAACGTTGGTGGCATATGCACAACATTTAATAATCTATAGTTCTCCCTTGTTTAAGGGCAACATCAAAGAGTCTGCGTGGCATACTAGAAACTAGGTTTCGAAGATGTTCCTCATTGATTGCTCTCCATGCTTCGGTAATTGCCCGCTTCAGCTTTTCTGTGCCCTGGAACTGACGGTTATTCGCATAAACCTGTCTGACTATTATGCCCCAGATATGTTCCATCGGACTGAGATCGGGATTGCAGGCTGGCCATGGCAGAACGCTTATTTATTGGCATTGCATCCACTCATCCGCTGCGTGGCTCACATGAATGGAGGAGTTGTCTTGTTGAGAGACATAGTTGAGGTGACGGCGATGGCATAGAAAGGGTATTGGATGATGCTCCAACACGTTCTAGTAATCCTTGAAATCCATACTGCAGCTTACGACAGGTAGATCCAACACGACATCATTGCAGAATGCACCCCCACCATAGACTTCCTCCACCGAAACTATGACGGCTGAAGTGACTGGTTCCTTTCTCAAATCGCGTCAGTACCGCTTGTTTCCGTCAGGACCGTCTGGATTGAATTTCTTTTCATCCGGAAAGACGACCTGAATAGGAATTATTCAGCTCCATGGTAAGATTTTGATGCAGATCTACCTTTGCCCAATCTCTCCCTGGGTTCATCTTTGCAAATCCGAGTCGAGCCTCTCTGTGGCGATCGGTGATTCGTGGCACCTTCTCCAGTGCTTGCTTGGTGATGTTCTCGCATCTTCTCACTGCTCTCCAGAATGTAGTTTTCGGCACAGAGAGGTTTAATTCCGATCGGATCTAGTTCACGGAGGGCG